AACAGAGTGAGATCTGTCTCCAAATAAAAAAAAAAAGAAAACAGCCTATAAATTAGGAATTAAGTTTTGAAAGAAGATTATACTGTTTGATCAACATATACATATAATAAGCTTACCATGCTGGGTTATATGACAAATTAATCTTTCACCTCCTCTATTTAAGTCTGAGAATCATAGTTAAGGTTTTCATTTCCCTAATTATTTTATAAGTGAAAACAAATATATATGCATCTTAAATTGAATTGGAAAAAAATTTTGAAAGAAATAAAACATTTCTCCTATATCTGAGGCAGTCGTAGCTCTTAAAATAAGATTTTATTACTTCAGGAGTTCACTCTCAAAGTCTATCAAAAAGTCATTTTTAATTATTCCTCTGTGTACTAAAAAATATTATATCTACTACCATGAGAAAAGATAACTGCATACAGCAATGCCCAGTGGTCCTTCTATAATTAAAGCTTAATTGTGATACTAAGTACTGAAAAATCCAGCAAGAAAATAAACTGAAAAGATAGGTCACACAAGGCTAAGCCCTTTCTATAAAAATTTCCTTAAAAGGTAATGAATAAATGGATTCTTCAAACACATATAACTTGAAGATTTAATCATCTTCCAAGGGTAGAAGGTGAATTGTTTTCCCTATAAAAATCTATTTTAACCAGTAGCAACAACAACTAACACATTATTACAGTTTGGCAAGCTTTGCTGGAAAGAAGTAACATGCATACATAATCCACATAAATATCCTATAAAGACATGCAATTTTATAACCCCCATTTCAAGGATGGACAAACTAAGGCTTATGCATAAAGGACTGCTCAAAGTTACAGAGCTTCGAGGTGGCAGAGGCCAGGCGCAAAGTGGATCTAACTGACATAAACTCTTGCTCTTAACCACTGTCTTCAGCTAAAATTTAAACTCTCCTGTCTGTATGATGTCACTATTTCCTCTCCATATTAGTTTCAGATCTAGAAAGGAAGCCCTGAAACAAGTAAAGCTCTAATTTAAATAGCATGTTAATGCAGAAAACCCAGAAATTTCACTCTAACTTCCAAAACAAAATCTCCTGAAATGCCTATCCAATCATAAATTTTAAGGTGTCGATTGTCTGGCGGCGCCTGTGGTTCAGTGGGTAAGGCGCTGGTCCTGTATTGCAACAAAAACTTAGCCGGGCATTGTGTCAGGTGCCTGTAGTCCTGGCTACTCGGGAGGCTGAGACAGGAGAATCCTAGGAGTTGGACGTTGCTGTGAGCTGTGACGCCACAGCACTCTACCCAGGGCAACAAAGTGCAACTCTGTCTCCAAAAAAAAAAAAAGAAGAAGAAGAAGAAGAAAAAGATGTCAATTGTCTTTTTTCTTTTCTTTTTTTTGAAACATAGTCTCACTCTGTTGCCCAGGCTAGAGTGCTGTGAAATCAGCCTAGCTCATGGCAACCTCAAACTCCTGGGCTCGAGCAATTCTCCTGCCTCTGGCTCCCAAGTAGCTGGGACTACAGGTGCCTGCCACAATGCCTCGCTAATTTTCTCTACTTTTAGTAGAAACAAGGTCTCCCTATGTTGCTCAGGCTGGCCTTGAACTCCTGAGCTCAAGGGATCCTCCTGCCATGGCCTATCAGAGGACTAAGAGTACAGGCATGAGCCACTGGGCCCAGCCTTAAGATGCCAATCTTTTGGACCATATTGCATCCTTTTCTTCCCTAAGCTCCACTGGAAAAACATGGTTAGGCAGGAAGAGGATCGTTCCCCTTAAAGCTTAAATTCCAACTCTCTTAGTTTGGCAACTCTACTGTGCTTTGAAACTTTAAAATTATAAGCAAAGTTCCCCAAGGAGAACGTTTCCTTTATTAGCAATTGGCTTTGAAAATTCCGTTCTAGGATGCTAAATATAACAAAATACCTCTGACTTTTATAAATAAACACATTCTGCAGATACTGATGATTGTCTATTTATAAGCCAGTTTTGCCATAGCAGTTAGGCAACTCCAACATTTTAAGGAATCCTTCAGATTTGTTCCAGATATTTTATTATTAAATTTTTTTTGAGACAGAGTCTTACTTTGTCACATCCTCAGTAGAGTGTCATGGTGTCACAGCTCACAGCAAACTTGGCACTCTACCAAGGGCAACATAGTGAGACTCTGTCTCAAAAAATAAATAAATAAATAAATGAATAAATAAAAATAAAAAAAGAATTAACTTGAAAATAGTTCTCTGGCTTCTTCTACTGTGAAATAAGAAAGTTCCCATTTCACAATTCATTTTCCTAAAAAGATGTCCTTGTTTTATTATTTTTAATTTCCATGGGTTCTAACACAACAGTATTGGCAAAGCCAGAATCATGGAAGTACTTTTTTTCCAAATTATGAAACAGAATAAATCAGAATTTCTTAAATTTTTACTATATATGTTCATCAAAGGCAAAGGATACATTTCACAGTTTTCAAAATGTGCCCTTATT